TGGTTCCCGAGCCCGTTCCACAGGAGGACGACGAAGGAGATACCTAGAGACTCTGTAGTCATACTCATAGTTTTATTTTCGAGTTTCTCTCTTAGTTAGTTTAATTTTTTATATTTTAAGTACGTTTCTGGTTTTTCGTGTAAGGGATGTTAACTGAAATTTTGACATCGCTTCCGCATTTGATATATTTAAATACTCATTTCATTTTAATATTTCCGGGGCCGTTACAATATTAATCTAACTTTTTTTTTTTTATAGAATATGTTAATTCAAAAATTTGTCATGTCTTATACTATTATAATCATGTTTTGAGAAAATCCTCTGCCAAAAAAGAAATTAAAGAGAATAATTATTTTTTACCACGTTCATTTTTTTTTTTTTAAATAATAATAATAAGTTAACTTTAATAATGATGTGACAAGATGAATGGCAATTTTATTTAATAATAAAGAAATGCACAAATCTCCACACAACAGGAGTTTAATGCAATGTGTGGAGACGATAAGAGTCACGTATTTTATTTCGTCACCAAGAAATTGTCTATTTTACACAACCATTACTTATATATATATATATGTATATATCTATTAACACAATCAAAAAAATATTAAATGAAAATAAATTTAATAAAAATATACTAATTATTCAGTCAATAAATAAATAGTTGATGGCCGTTACTTCATATATCATTTCAAAGTTATAATATAAAGTTTAATTTTTTAAATCATTATTTTTATTGATGCAAAATATGTTGAGTTGAGTTTTGAATCTATTAGGATTATTTAAACTGAGAAAAAAAAAAACGACTGTTTTAATTTTTTTTCACAAAAATAAAATATATTTACTAAGACTTAATTTTATTTAATCATTATTATTATGTTACTAATATTTTACTGAATTAATTTTTAATTATGTTGAATTAAGTATTAAATAAAATATCAAATATCAAATTTTATATTTTTAATAAAATTTGAATTAGTAAATTTTTATATTTTTTTAACTATATTGTTAGTATTTAAATTTTTTAAATAATGTTTCGAATGTTTTTGTAAAATTTATAATTTGAAGCACCTTTAAAAAAAAAACCTACTATGCGCACACGCGCACACGCACACACACATATATATATATATAGAGACAATCAATAATAATTGGTCACGTGATTAACAAAATCGTTTTCATTAATAATTATAATAATTTGGAAACAAATTAGGGTTTAATTTTCCCTGATAATAACATTATATGCTATACGTTGAATCATAAATACCTGAGCATATTTCCTTGTCACGCCTTGTTCGATTTTAATCAAATCATCTCTGTTTGATGTGAATGCTTTGTCTCCATTTAATTATACCTGTTTTTTTCATCTATTTTTTTTTGTTTAAATTAATAGAAACTTTTTCAACATTTATATAAATTATAATTAAAAAATAAAGACTCTAATCTATACATGATCATAATCTATTTCTGATTTTTTTAAAAAAAATTTAATAATTATGAATTTTGGGTTTAAATTAATAAGCTGAAAATGGGTTGCATCTAAAAAGAAGATAAATTTTCTCGATTTTTTTTTTTTTTGAGAAAATCAAAAGTAAAATACACAGTATTTTAATTGATGATATTACCATTTATTTCACTGCAAAGAAAATAAATCTCAAATCTCACGTGTATTAATAATTTTTTCTTACCTATTAAAAAATTATTTTGTTACTGTCACCCAATTGGATAGATTCTTATTTAAATAAATAAATATAAAATTGAAGCCATTACACAAGCACGTGCGATGCCTTGCGAAGCACATGCGTGTAATAAATACAATTGGAATTTAAAAAATTAAAAAAGTAAATTATAAATTATACACCACAATGGCACAGATGTAATTATACCCCCCTAAATGGAAGCCTAAACTGTTAAAAGCTAGTTTCCACGAGTCAGCCCTCTCTTCTTCCACGGCGAGAGAATCAAACTTCGCTGAACCCAGAGAAACATGCACGTATTTTGACGGCTATTCTCCCTGTACTTGTCTACAGTACAATCTACCGTATTATCATACTCTCTCCAATCAGATCACATCGTAGCACAAGTGGGCCCCAGTAAAACTGCAGTTGGACCCCATACGAAGCTTCTTTAACACACACGTATTAGCTGGACGTCACGGATGAAAGGACAGCGTGGATGAGTTTAGTGACTACGTTGCACAGAATTATCTCTCTAACTAGTACACATTTTCCTATGCCCAAAAAAAGTAAGCATGGACAATGGCTTCTTTACCAAGCCTCTTATTCTCTCTCCTGATGGGCTTTTTCGTAAAAGAACAACATTCAAGGACGTGTTTGGTTGTTACTAAAAGAACAAAACTTCTTTTTTTCTTTTTCCGGGTTGTGGTTGTTTAAAATTATATGAATTTTAAAAAAGAGAAAAAGAAAGTAAGATGTTATATTTAAGTTAATTTTCTTCTAAATTTTATTTATTTAATATATAAAATTAATATTTATAATTGTAGAAATAAAAAGAATAATATCTTGATTTGGTTGTATATAAGTTACTTATATAAACCAAAGAAGAAACTGTATTTTTTGCATATCTTTTCATGATTTAATACCAAATAAAATATTTTATTATTGAATTAAATAAAAATATTGCAAATTTTCTTACCATTTTTTTTAGGTGTGTATGGAAATTAATTTTCATATTACTAAATCGGTTTAAATTTTGCACATCCAAACAGTGCCTAAGCGTTTCCAGTAATCTACTTTTAATTTTTCGTTTTTTCACATTTCCATCAACTGACACTGAGTCAGCACTTATAAATAAACAAACAAAGGTAACCAGGTAACCGATAAAGAGAAAGAATACTCAAAAGTCGTAGAAAATTTTCTCTCTTCTTAATTATAATCCTCTCTCTCTCTCTCTCTCTCTCCCCTCAGATTAGCTACTGAGAATTTCCAAGTGAAACGGACGGAAGAAACCAAGAAAACAGAGTAACCACACTCGTCCCTCTCAATGTATAGGATACTGTGACCTCTTGCTCTTCAAATGTAGTTCACCGTTTCTGATCGGAGAATGGCGAAGTGTCATCGAAACGACGTCGGATCTCTAGTACTCGATCGCGCTACTGTTGGAGTTGGACCTTCCGGCAACCATTTCCGGCTGTGGAGTCCTTTCTCCGGAGCCGCGTTTCGCAGGAGATTGTTCGATGCCGTCACCTGCGGAGGCAGCTCGCGTTACCGGCACGAACTTCAAGAAGAAGACAATGCCTCTACGGCAACCGCAAGAACAAACACAATGAGAGCGATTTTGGACGAAGCTAACAAGAAATCATCGCAGCCGGAGAAATTCGGAGACGATGATGATAAGAAAGAGAAGCAGTCGAGCGGTAATAATACGAAATCGGAGAAGCTGGCGGATCTGTTGAACTTAGCGGAAGCGGAGACGGACATGGAGACGAGGAAGAAAATAGAGGCGCTCAACGAGTTGAAGCGCGTGGTGAGGCAACTGCAGGTTGAGGACGAGATGAAGAAGAAAGCAGCTGCAGGTAGCGTGAGGTTGCTTGCGAAGGAGGATTCGGAGGCTAGAGTTACTATGGCTCTGCTTGGAGCCATCCCTCCTCTGGTTGGCATGCTTGATCTCAAAGATGTTGATTCTTTGATTGCTTCACTCTATGCGCTGCTCAATCTCGGGGTCGGAAATGATGCGTGAGTTTCCGTTTCAGCATTTTCATCACTTTCACTCAAACTCAGTTATTCTCCCTCGTTTGGGTCGATTCTCACATTAATTTTGTATTTGTTGTGTTTGCAATTAGTTCGTTTCTCCTCCACCGCCCTCCTCTTCCCCATTCCCCTTTTTCTCAGAGTTTGCTGAATTGAATTGAGTGTTTTCTTGTGTTTTTCTTCTATATAAGCTAAATTACGGCTCGTTTAATTTTGCGTAATTGGCAAATTTATTATGTATTTTATTTGGTTTTGGAATGCATGTCGTCTTTGTTACATTTCATTTGTTAAAAAATTATCTTCTGTTGTTTCTCTGTTTCATCATTGATTCATACCAATAATTTTTCTGGTTGATTTGTTTGGTTGAACTAGTCATTTTCCATGTTTCAGCCATATATATATTTGTCATTTAAAACAGTTCCGCCCATCTACAAGATGTTGATTGTTTTTTTTTTTTTTTGCATTTAATTGGTTTAGTTATCCGTTCAAATCTCCCTATCACAGCGATATAACGGTCATTCTTTTCGCTATGGTTTTTCTCCATACGCGCTTTTACTGATTGATGGAAATTTTAATTAATTGCTTCCGAATCCCTTTGCAGGAACAAAGCAGCCATTGTCAAAGCAGGCGCTGTTCATAAGATGTTAAAGCTTATTGAATCTGCAGATGATCCTAAACCACCTGTTGCAGAAGCAATAGTAGCAAATTTCTTGGGCTTGAGCGCATTGGATGCCAACAAATCGATAATTGGTTCTTCAGGTGCTATCCCTTTCTTAGTAAAAACCCTGAAGAATTTGGACCATGGAAGTAGCTCCCAAGCAAAACAAGACGCACTACGTGCTCTGTACAACCTTTCCATCTTTCCATCCAATATTTCCTTTATTTTAGAAACCGACTTGATCTCATTTCTCTTAAATGCCCTTGGGGACATGGAAGTAAGTGAGAGAATTCTTTCGGTCTTGAGCAATGTAGTTTCAACCCCAGAAGGTCGAAAGTCAATTAGCCTTGCATCAGATGCATTCCCAATATTGGTTGATGTGTTAAATTGGACTGATTCACCGGGTTGCCAGGAGAAGGCATCTTACATTTTAATGGTGATGGCACACAAAGGGTATGGAGATAGACAAGCCATGATTGAGGCAGGCATAGTATCATCTTTGCTTGAATTAACTCTGTTAGGCAGTACATTGGCACAGAAGAGAGCTTCAAGGATCTTGGAGTGCCTGAGAGTTGATAAAGGGAAGCAAGTTTCTGAGAATTTTGGTGGGAATTTGGGTGCGACTGTTTCTGCTCCGATCTGTGGTTCTTCATCCTCTTCTACAAACCCAAATGGGGTTTCTAAAAATTGTTTACTAGAGGAGGAAGATATGATGAGCGAGGAGAAGAAAGCTGTAAAACAACTGGTCCAACAGAGTTTGCAGAACAACATGAAGAGAATTGTTAAGAGAGCCAATTTGCCACAAGATTTTGTTCCATCTGAACATTTCAAGTCCCTCACATTGAGCTCAACTTCGAAGAGCTTACCATTTTGAAATGATTGGGCGACTGCGTGCAGGCAATGGAATTGAAGTGGAGAAATCTTAAGTTAGTATTTTTCTTTCACAATAACTTTCTGCTTTAGGTTTTCTAAGTCTTCTTAGTATATGATATATGTTAACATTGATATTGTGATATGAAAATCCTAATAGAAAGAATATCATATGATGAATGATATCCGTTCTTGGCTAGATAGCATTTGGATAAGTAAAGAAATCATCATATTAAACTTAATTTTTGCCTTGAATCTAGATCCATTTTATACTGGAGCCTGAGGGAGCCAACTGACGATCAAGAGCTGACATAGTTTCAGTATAAGAGCTTCCTTTTTTTTTTTTTAATACATTTGGTGGGATCTGAACCCGCTATGAACTTTAACAATGATGAGATCATCTTATGTTTGGCTGTCAGTGGTATGGCAAGCAAAATTATGAAATCCAAGGGTTGATTTAGTCATAAAAAGATTGCTATCTATTGTCCCAATTTATCAAGGGGTCAGTTTCAACTCATTAGTACACTTTTGTCTAGCTCTTGGTCCTACTCTCTATTTTTATATTCTTCCCATACACCCGTTAGATGGGCTGTCGGTCGTTTTCTCTTGCTTAGAAACAGGGACTGTCACAGCTATGTATCATTTGCGAATCTTTCCCCCTGTTATTATTTCAACTGTAGTGTGAAAAAAAAAGTGAATTCTAATTGATCTCATTCGGAATCTCTGGATTTACGAGATTGTTGAATTTATTTTACGCCTGAGCAGTGAGAACATGGACTGTTAGCCCCTCCTTGTTAATTATTTTCTTCTTCTTAAATCTTTTGTCCTTGTTTACTGAGCTATTTTATATTAACTATTGACAGATCAGGGAAAGAGAAGGATCAGTAAGTCAATTTTTGCAGAAGGGAAGATGACCAGATGAGTCTTAGCTGTGTGTTGCTATTAAAAAATCGTCCATATTTCCTCCACTCGAGGTCTATGACGTACATGATGAGTGTGGGATACAGGCATTTTCTGATATTTTTGGCTTATATTTTCTTCTCTTTTCTGTTTCTCTAGCATTGGAGCTTTTATGTGAATTTTGGTGTAAATATTTTTGTTGTAATGTAATTTTATATCTACGATATCTCCAGCTCAGTGCTCCGTCTACTACACACAGCCATCATCACTAATTCAGTTGACTTAAATTATCAAAGATTATAGAGTGTCTCAAATAAGATAAAAAATTACTAGTATTTACATTCGGGTTTCTGGTTGTTTAGGGTTACACATTCTTGGTGGATTAGGGACGGAATTGAGAAGGCTGGACTCTATAACACCATTATTAATCTTTAGTTCCCAAACCTTTCATCTACCTATTTAGTGCAAATTTTCTCTTAAAGCCGGA